GAGCGCAGAGGGCGCCGAATAGGATTCAGCCCACATTTTGCGTCAAATTGCTGGGCGTTCGCATAGGGCTACTCGTTCGCAGGCTTAGTGCGCCTATCTCGCTAGCGTAACACTGAATAAAAAAATGATTGGGCTGCTACGGTTCAAACCCAGGATCGGTTGCTCGAGAGCATAAAGACTCTAACCAGTTGAGCTAGTGACCTTTAATGATTACAGTACAACGCAACACCTTAAGAAACTCAAACGCTGATCCGCATATTTTAAAAAATTCGAACACAATTATTTTTCAAAAACAAAACATGAATGTTTTACTAAACGGGGACATTTTTCAAAATTGTTAAGAATTTTGAGAAAAATCAAACATATTTAAACACGCAAATGAATTTTGAAGAAGCGAACATTTTTTAAAAAGGAACATTTTCTCAACTACCAAAAAACTGAACAGGAACAATTTTACAAAAACAGGAACATTTTCAAAATTCCAAAACAAAATTTGCAAACATGAACAACTTTTGCACATGAACAATTTTTGAATTTCCCAAACATTTTTTGAAAAAAGAAGGTTTTGGCATTTGTAAACAATTTTATAAAGCATAAACATTTTTTGAATCTTGAGAACAAATTTTGAAGCGCGAACAATTTTTTAAAGCATGAACATTTTTTGAATTTTAAGATCAAATTTTGAAACGGAGCTTAATTTTTAAAAATCCTGAGCAAATTTGGAAGCGTGAATTTTTTTGAATACATGAACAAAAAATTGAAATCTGGTACATTTTCTGAATGTCGAAAGTATTGAACTTTTTTGTGTAGTGAGAACAATTTTTTAATTTTGAGAACAGTTTTTTAGAAAATTGAACATTTTTTTTAAACATTAACGTTTTGGACTTTGTGAATATTTTTTAAAGCACAAACATTTTTTGAACCCTGAGAACAAATTTCAAAACGGAGAACAATTTTGAAAAAATCCTTAACAAATTTGGAAGCGTGAATTTTTTTTGAATACGTGAAGAAAAAATTGAAATCCGGTACATTTTCTTAATTTCGAAAGTTTTGAACTTTTTTGTGTAATGGGAACATTTTTTTAATTTTGAAAACATTTTTTCGAAAAGTGAACACTTTTTTGGAATCATAAATAAAACTTGAATATTTTGAAAAAAGTTTGGAAAAAAGATAAGAAAATAAAAATAAATGAAAAACCAAAGAAAGAAAAATTGTTGAAAAGAGAAATTAACTTGAAAAGGAAAACTGAAAGAAAACAAAAAAGTAACAAAAAGAAAAGAAAAAGAAGCAGAAAAGGGAAGAAGAAAAAACAGGAAGAGTAAAAAAAGAAAAAGAAAGAAACAACCGGTTCAGGAACCTTCTAGATGGTTCCCAAAATCTGTAAAGGAACGCTATAGAAGGATCCCAAAACCCGAACTTGTAGGTACGCTAAAGATGAGCTGGCCCAAATCGCTCCCTAGTCGCACCCCGTTGTGTGATTCGTCGACAATTTGCCGCAACGTGCAGCAAATAGGAAATTCCCTCCTACTCGGCGCTGTAGGCGGCAAATCCTATTTGACGCTGCAGGTGCCTATTGCAAAAAATTATGGAAAAGTGTTCAAATCACCCGATTGATCTTTCCTCTCTCGCAAGCCTCTTTCTCCGCACGACACGTGCCCGCATCCGCCACAACCATCTGAGCTGCTCCTCCATACATTTTCTTTCTTCTCTCTTTCCCTTGCATCTCATGGCGAGCAGAGGAGTCATGGCGAGCCACCAACAGGGCCGGGCCGGCAAAATCCGGGGCCCTGTGCAAAACTAAAAAATGGGGCCCTATCTTACCAAAAAAGTTGAACTAACGAGCAATTATAGTATATATCTCGTAGAAAAAATGTAATGTATATAATATAAAGTCTAACTCACCTAATTTTGGGTCTTGTGATCTTTAACCGAGGATGTAAGAAGTAAGAACGAATCTCCAACAAGTAACGACCCTGCCAATACTTAATTACAAAATTAGGAGTTAGAAATAGGAACCAAAATTAATCAAAAAGGACTCGCTAAGCTATCTGTAATCACCTGTAGCCACGAGCCCAAGGCCGTCCCCTCATGATTAGAGTTTCCAGTTTTCACGATCTTGAAATCCCGATCTCTTTAGGATGTAGCGATCGAGACATTGATTGCGGGCTATTAGAGCAGTCAAGGAGATCAGAAGAAGTTCCCGTTTTCATTGATCGAGACACCAGAGCAGTCGAGGAGATCAGAAGAAGTTCCCGTTTTAGAGGTGGTCGCTGTCGCGGTTTCCGCGCTCGTCGCTGCCGCCGTTTCAGCGCTGGAGTCGAGGAGATCAGATCCGGTTTCGGCGGAGCGCTGGTCGCTATCGCTCGTTTTTGTTTTTTCTTTGGGAGAAAAATGATGTCGCTCGATGCCTCGATGGATGCCCTCCGCTTGTCGCTTCGCTTCGACTCCAGCCCAGAGCGGCAGAGCCCACTCCAGCGCCCAGCCCAGTAGTTCATAAGACTAGGCTTATGTAAAAAATTTGGGGCCTCCCAGAATTTTGGGCCCTGTGCGGGCCGCACCTTTTGAACCACTGTAGGCCCGGCCCTGGCCACCAACACAACAGCTAGGAAATAGGTAGAGTTTGACCCCTGCCGTTGGCACTAGTAGCCAGAGCTCCTCCAACAGCATAGCTACAAAGCAGAGCTGGAGCTCTTCCAGCGGCATAGCTGCAAAGCAGCGTCCATGGAGAGAAGCCTTGATGGGAACCATCACAGCAGCGGGAGGAACCAGGGAGGTGCTACCG